TATAAAAAAAAAAAAAAAAAAAAAAAAAGCCCAACAAGTAAACGATAAGAGAAAGAACTTAAAACTTATAGAAGGTGGGAAAAGAATAGGAAGAAACAAACTTTATATATATTAATTAGAGAGAGAAAATGGAAGCCCCATGGTGGCATGGAAAGCAAAGCAGAGACAGAATGAAAATGAGTTAGTTTGGAGGAGGGAGAGCATGAACTGATGATCTTTCAGGAGGAAGGAGCTGCATCAAAGGAATGAAGAACCTGCTCCAACATCTTTCTTCTCTGTGAATCAAGAGGGCTCTCTGGTTTGTCAGAGTGAGATATGTTAAGGATGTAGAGCTTCTTAGAAGCCACAAAAGCAGCGGAAAAAACCCGCTTCATCCCTCCTCTAGTGCTGTCGACCGTGTACTCGAACTCGTACACTTGTAGACCTCCCTCACCAGATCTCTCTGCAGCACCAACCACTGCTGCATCCTTTGTACTTTCCTGTATTCATAGAATAAGTAACTAAGACATGGAATCGGTTAATCCCATTTTAGAATGTTGGATTTGGATAACAATAGTGTTTCTTCCATTTTAGGGGTAAAAGAACATGAATCAAGAAATAGAAGAGTTAATAACTTGGACTCAACAAGGCTAGTCTGACAATATGTGATATCCCACATCAGTTGAGGAGGAGAACGAAACATTTTTCATAAGGGTGTGGAAACCTCTTCCTAACAGACGCGTTTTAAAAACCTTGAGGGAAAGCTAAAATAGGACAATATCTACTAGCGGTGGGCTTGGGCTATTACAAATGGTATCAGAGTCGGACACCGAGTGGTGTGTCAACGAGGAGACTGAACCCCAAAGAAGGGCAAACACGAGGCCGTGTGCCAGAAAGGACATTGGGCCTCAAAGGGGGGTGGTGGATTGGGAGTCCCACATCGATTGAAGAAGAGAACGAGTGCCAGTGAGGAAGCTGGGCTCCGAAGGGGTGTGTATTGTGAGATCCCACATCGATTGGAGAGGATAATGTTGTATTATCCCAAAGAAAAAAGAAAACACTCAAATATATTATTTTTCATAGCACTTAAAAGCATCCAACAAAAATCACAGCCAAGCACGTCGATGTTCCAATCAGTAGGAAATGCCAAAATCTCAAAAAATAAATTACCTTTCGCTTTTCAGCCTGTATAAGTTTGTCAGCCACGAACTGAGGACTTCCAAACTCCCCAAGACTTGTAAGACGAACCGGGTTTACTACAACACCAACATTGTTGCTTCCTTTATTCTCCTCTTCAAATAAAACTGTTGCCCCTGCTTTATCAACCTTTACCAAGAGCACAGTTTCAGACAAAGTCTACTCAAAGGAAAAGCCTAAGAATGCATCACTGTTAGTTCAGAGAGAGATGGCCAAAAACCTTAACCCAAGAAGATGGTCGAAGAAGAGTAAAGCCCTCCTTTGAATCTGTGTATCTCTCAAGCTCCAACTCTTCAGCAAAAACGGCCTCACAAATGCTTGGTGAAAATCCATACAAGAACAGTGAGATAATTGAAACATTCAGAGCTCTCCTGCTTGGGTAAAGGAGTGGACTTGTGCACAAGTGGCTGCTTCCTAGTATGGGTTTTTGGGTCACATGAGCACTGTGCTGCAAAATTGAGAATTAGATTCTTGGTGAAGATAATGTGATTTTTTCTAAAAGAGAAAATGTGGGCTAGATTTTTATTGAACAAAAAGACTTTGAATGAAGAAAACATCGATATACGAAAACAAAAAGATAAAAGAACAGCTAGTTTCACAAAGTGGGAAGAATAAAGGAGAATTCACTCAGTATAATTAGATAAAAACATAATGGAAAGACAACAAAACTGTTGCTGACCAACAATCCACTAGAAAACTGTAGCTGCAGCATACCCAATGGAATCTTTGAACTGTAACATACCATGTACAAAGATTTTTCTGTTCTTCACCATAGCCATATATGGAAGTTTCAAGTTAACCCCTTGTGTATGTGAACCCCGAGTACACAAACACAAAACCCTCAAATCTATCAATTTCAACTCTAAAGTTTAGGTTAAACACGGATTGTCTCAAGTTCTTTGGCCCACGATAGGATGATCAATCCTATTTGAATATTTTTTTTGCAAGTAACTCAAGTCATGAATTGCAAAAGGATCAAGAAACTCTTAGCTAAACTTGACAAAAAAAATCTCAGCTAAAATTTATTCATGGTCAACTGTTCGAAAAATCAAACGGTCAGGCTCTAGATGACCTTCCAACGAACCAAAATGACATATTATTGATCATGGAAAAATGACAAAAATACTCTTGCTTAATATTTCCTAAAAGGATAATTGAAAAACATTAAAGACGACGTCAAATCCCAAATAAATAAAAAAGAAACAAATCATAATTTGAAGACTATATGCAGTTCATATCATGTTCTACCTATCCAGCACGGACCGAAAAATTAATAAAACAGATAACTTCATATTGAAGCAAAAATGATCTCTTAAAAATGGAAAAATTAATGAAATGTCCATAGGAAGTATGTAATTGAACCTTTGTTCCAAAATATGGTATGAATGATCAATGTCCTTTAGGGCAGGGGGATCTGCATCAAAAGCCAACTTCTTATCCCTCAAAAACCTTGTAGGAAGCTTTTGTTTTGACGAGGAACCGTTTGAAAATTTATATGGTGCCTGAAAATTCATTTTGGAGCAATAAAAAGAAATCAGCCGTCCTCCTTTTGCATCTACAGGCCAACTTTGTCTGGATTGAACAATATCTATTCATCACAGTACACAATAAAACATTATTCATCACTCATTTGATACTTAATATAGTTAAATTTAAAACATCGGGAAAAATACAAGAAAAACCCCCAATTAAATAAAAGCATGCTTGCCTCACAAGATGTTTCCAAGTACCTTCCCTTCGGGTTTGGAGAGTCTACACATTATAAATAATAAAAGTTAGTTGGGGAGGAAGGGAAGGGGTGGGGATGAAGAGGTTATGAACATAGGGGATAAAAAGACAAAGAAAATTGCTAGAAAACTCAGTAATGAATTCTATTCAACAGACTCATCACAGAAGAGGTATACTACACAACAAACATGTAACAATCTAAGCCCTCCGCTGGCAGATATTGTCTTCTTTGGGCTTTTCCTTTCGGGCTTTCCCTTAAGGTTTTAAAACGCATCTGCTAAGGAGAGGTTTCCACACCCTTATAAAGAATGTTTCGTTCTCCTCCCCAACCGACGTGGGATCTCACAAAATATGACTTGGGACTTTTGATTTACTATAGCATAATAAAAGAAATTAACTCAATTCACCTACTTCAGCCATGAACTTCACATTAAAATGTTAAACATGTTATATCATACACTGGGCCAACAAGTTTTAACAATGTAGTGAAAATTAGAGGGGCATTCTTTGCCTTTCACCATGATTTTTATATTACACTACATCAGTGAAAAGAAGGTGTAGCGGATTTTATAGGATACAGGTTCAAGTCGATTTTGCAATTCTTGCATCCAAAAGTCTGTATTTACAGAACTAATCTCTGAACGGAGAATGTTGTCCAAACAAAGACCAGTTTCTTGATTTCTACTAATGATTCAATGTTCAATTCGAAAATCGTGTGCATTGAAATCCAGCCGAGAATACATCACTTACATAATAAGCGCTAATCAGGACAATTCAAAGGACATCGCCACTAGTAGAGATTAGAAAACACGAATAATCATGAACATTGTCGATAAATGTGAATCTGAGAGGTTGAAAAAATGGAGCATACATGGAAGAAGAGTATGTTGGATGGAAACTGGAGGAGTGTCGCCATAGCCCAAGACGATTGTTTCCTCTTACGCGCTGCTTTCTCTTCGAACTCTGCCGCTGTGCGTATGGTCTGGATAGACTTGTAATGGATGCTCCGTGTGACGTCCACGTTTATTATTGTTTTTCTTTTTTCTTTTCCTTAAATTAATAAAATTACTTTTATTTATCTCAAAAATACTTTTTTTTTTTAATTTTATCACAATTTTTTTTAATTTTTTAATTTTTAATTTTTAATAGAAATTAGTAGTATGTTTTTAAAATATTCATTAATATTTTTAAACTTTATTAAAAAAAAAAACAATACTAACATCAAATTTGTATAAATAAAAAATAGATTCTTATTCTTTTAAAATTAATATTTGTAGGGTTGGGCCGGCCCGGTTCGGAAAGAGTAAACCGGAAACGAACAAAGAACCAAACCGCTCTACTTTTATTATAGTTATTATTATTATTTTAAATGTTTTTCCTGTTTCCATCCCAGTTTCGGCTCGTGCTAACGCACGTGACCGCTATTTTTTATTATTTAATTTTTATTTTTAATAATTTATAATTTTCTTTTTAGAGCTTCTGGTTCTTCTCAGTTTAGGTTTAGGGTTGGCTTTCAGACTTCCAGACTCCCTCGCTTTCTATAACAGCCGCCGACGCCCTCCACCTGCCGGACTTTAGCTGCCTAGTTCCACAGACGTCGACGTTGCAGTTGCCGTCGCCGCCCACTTTTCTTTCTTCTCTCTCTCTATCTTTCTCTCTCTGCTGCAACCACACGTCAGCACGCTAGTCGAAACAAGTATTTCGGTTTCGTTTGATTGTTCTAATTAGCGGGGTATATTTGTTTACCTTCATACCAAACTGGTTTGTTCTTTACGTTTTTGTTTCTCCAATTATTTTGTTTGAATCTTTTATTCACTTGTTCTTTTGTTTCAGGCTTGAACCTCGCCCTATTCCCAGGCCCCACTGTGGCAGTAGGATCTCAGTAGGGTTTGGGTAATAATCATGGGGATGGAATTGGAAAATGGCCAAGCTCAGTTCCAGGATATGGAGGGCGTTAACTTCACAGATTCTCAGTTAGTTGATTTCATTAGGGGGTTTCTTAGTTCAGTGTCACTGGTATTGTTCCCTTAACACCGTTTTTTTGTTCTTTACTAAAAAAGAATGGTTTTTAAATCTTTGAGTTGCACGATATGCTTCCAAGTTCTCACTGCTAATCAATTTATGAATTATTTACAGTAGCTTTTCAATTGGTATAGGGAAATACTGATGGGTATAACCAGCTTGTTGGTGTTATACACCATAGGGAACGACTATCCCCTGATGAGGTTGCCTTGCTCGTGGTATGAACTTTGAGATCACAGCTGTTTTTGACCAATGATGCGAGATTTAATTTCATACTAACTAGCTTTTAATTCACCTGATGCACTAACAGACATGTTTGAAGGCACTATGTGGAGCAGTTTCTTTTATAGACAACGTTCTCCATGAATCTCTGCTTGCAGGAGTAAGTTTATCACTAAACTCCGTGTCTGTATCCTGCAATTTTGTTGTTGTAATGGAAGTTCTGTTTCAGATTTTTAAAATGAGCTTATGGGATTATGGACCTAACGTGATGGATGCCCTGGTTGAACTTATAACATCCCTGGTACACGCATTTATGATACTATAACTCTCACACTCTTTCTTGAGGTTCCCTTAATAGTTCCATGATCTCCTGCCTTTTTGTCTATTTAATGTTTCAGGCCGTTTCAAGTGGAAAATATGTGGACTCATGCTTGGATATGCTTGTTAATAATTTCATGCCGCCCCATTACTACATGGATTTGCTGAAGAAACCACATGGTCTTATCAGAAAGGATGAAGTTTTTTCTCGAGTGCACACAGCTTTAAAAGACATCTCCGACTTGGTGCCTCTTGCACCCTTGAGATTAGAGCAAATAGTTGTCAATAAAATGCAGAGAGTCTTTTTCAAAGAATCTGTGAGTTGAAGTTATAGCTGAAAGTTGCCCAAGAGGAATCTAATTGAAAATTGTGCTTATTTCTAATTAGTTATCTTCAGTTTAAATTATCATTTTGGTTTTCGTACTTCGGTTTCCTTCAATTTTAGTCCTTGTATTTACAAATGTCAAATTTTAGCCCCTATGTTTTCAAAAAGAAAAAATCTTAAAATCAGTCATTCAATGTCAAATTTTTATTGAAATTGGTTAAATAATAATAGTACAATAGATACTAAATATTTTTTGAAAAATCTATGAATAATTAGTTTTAAGATTGCATGTTTTGGAAAGAAAGTATTGCTAATTATAGTTATTTTTCTACCCAATTTGACTTGTTCACGACCATTGAATGACTTGGAAATTTGGTGTGAAGCTGAATGCCCTTTTTTTGTTTCTATTCTTTGGCAGACTGAAATTGGAAATTTGGTGTGAAGCTGAATGCCCTTTTTTTGTTTCTATTCTTTGGCAGACTGAAATTTTTTATTTCTAGATTTATTTCTTTAAATGACCCTTCAAAATATATAGTTTGAACTGGAACAATACCTGAATATGATTTGTAGTTGAAATATATTTACTAAATGCTAAATTTATTCTATCTTTGAACCTACAAAATCCTCTTCCTATTTTTACGAATAAATGCATTCATACGAACTGGATGGCATAAACCATAAAAAAGTCAGATATCATAAAGATGGTTACATATTCGAAGGCTCTGGTCAGATGCTTCTTGCTTGCTTAAGATAGAGATTGCTTTGATTTCTTTCTAGAATATTTTCTAAAAACTTACTTTTTATTTCACCTTCAAAACATTTGCACTCTTAGTTAGAAATTTGTTTTGTGGTTATCCTCCACTTACATCTGTTTAACCTTTCTGTAGATGACCACAGTATACGTGGAGAACATGTTGAGGTTGGAAAAAGGTTCATTGAGCGAATTTGTTGGGAGAAAGATCTTAACAGCGCTGGTAGATAAGCTCTTAGATTTGGATGTAAGTCGAAACAAATATTTCAGTGAATAAGTTGTTTGAAGCAACATTTGTTTATGTGATTACTGAAGAATTATAATGAATTCTAACCCTCTGGCAGGTGGAGATTGGGTGGGATGATATCTTACAAGATGATTTCAGTAAAGGAATCTTTGAGATTGAACTCGAAGATGATGATGAAATTACCGATGCTATTAATGAGGATTCTATTGAGGTAAGATACAACGTCTAGGCTGGATAAAGAAATATATTTCTTCAACTAAGTTGTAATGGCACTTGATCCCTTTTTTAGCTTCCCTTCTTCGTTGTTTTGTTTTGTTTGTTTGTTGTGGTTGGCATTTGTTTCAATATTCTCTTTACGTACAATTTCTAATCTTCTAGTAAATGTATTAATGGATCTGAAGCAAAAGCTAAATATCTTTGGGGTCTGCAACACTTAAATATTATATCAAAGTCATGTTTTTTCAAACATTATTCCCTTTTGATTGAAAAATTACTTGCATGTTTTCCTTTCTGCTATATGTTTTGATTATATTTCTTTTATTCATGTTGTTATTTGCTGGGTTGAATTTGAGCTTATTTTGCCAGCTTCCTAGCGAACTAAGTCGTAAGAGCTTAACTGGAAATGTGATTGCCGAAACTTTAGATAGTTTGATTGTTCTAACATTTGAACATCTTGAATCATGTGAACGTGATGGACGATTGAATGAGGTACGTTCTGTGTAGTTTATTTCATTTTCCTTTTTATTTGTTCTCAATTTTTTGATTTATGTTGCAAATGAGTAATTTTTCCATGTTTCTTTAATGTGGAGGTTAGGTTTTTGAAATTTTACTCCTATCTTTTCAAAGAACTGTTCTGACTGCTTACAAGTCGAAATTTGCCCAGGTAATTAACATGCCCTTACCCCTTATTCTGTGTTGTTGCTTATTTACTCTGGCTCAGTGAGCCTTCATTTTATATATTTTTTAAAAAGGTGGAAAGTGAATCACACTTTTGATGTTTTTTCTTGGCAGTTTGTCATATTCTATGCTTGTGCATTAGATCCTGAAGTTTGTGGTGCAAGATTTGCCGTTACGCTAGCAGATATGTTTATTTCATGCAATGATCCTCCACTTACCAGGTATTAAAAAATCTTGCGAAAGCTATGTTCTCTAGCGTTTGTGAGCTTCAGAAAAGATTTGATAGTGGCTCCAACGTAGTTAATTTTGCCCTGTCTTGGGCACATTTTCATTTTTTATATGAATGAAATTAAGGAATATATTTCTGTGGTATTGTGCAGGATGAGTGCTGTTTCATATCTTGCAAGCTATTTGTCTCGTGGGAAATTTCTGTCAACCTCTTTGGTTACCACTATATTGAAAAGGTTCACTTGTCAATATTAACTATGTTTCTGTGATGAAAAACATGAAACTGATAAAATTAAAGTGGGGAGGGTAAATTATTGTGGCTTTAAGTGTAATTTTGCCTCTAATTTTTTCAGACTGGTGGATTGGTGTTTAGAGTATAGCAAAACGCAGCATGTTGACCTAAACCCAAAGGCTCATAAAGTATTTTATTCTGGTTGCCAGGTATGCAATGTTTGGATTCGTTTTGCTAGATGCACGTATCCTAAAGCACATAGCATTATCCAATAGCATAAATGAACATATACGGATTCCCAAATTCTAAATCATACATTTATAAACATACATCATGCTCAACATGCTCAAACAAGGGATAGTATATCAACTAGGGTATGCTGGAAAACTTATAAACATATTAACTCTATAAGAGTTCACAATTTTGCACTGTGGAAAGTTATGAAACTAAGTATCGTGCTAAACCATAAGCAAGTTTCATAGGCTTAGCAAACTAGCTTAACTAGGCTTCTAAACATGGTTTCTAATCATTTGTCCAGTGTCTTAATGTCACCTAGAAGTATTTCTTTAAATTTAGTCAATGTGGTTACATATTTGTTTGTCATCTTTCTTAACTTCTCTCTTTAAAATAATTATTTTTAAAAAATATTTTATTTATTTTCTTAAAACTCTAGATGTTTCTTGTTCTCACTGACCCATTTAGTGGGAGTGTGTACGTTTTGTATACTGCATATTTGTGAAATAAGAAACAGTGCTTTCATAGAGCAA